GTGAAGCCATTTGAACTGCAAGGTCAGCGGTCTAAGTTCACCAGCTGCTGCTCCTCGGAAACCCTAAGGGTCAGAACTGACTCAATGGCACTTAACAACAACAACATTGAGAACATAGAAAACCTCATTAACTCCACATAGAAAACCCAGTTTCCAAGTAGAAGCGTATCCACAGGTCAGGATCCCAACACGGGGATGTGGTGGAGGAGACAGATCCACTCCCACAGCACAGCCCCCCAACCCCCACCACAGACTCCCACCCCCCACACTCCGTGTGTTGCTCTTTCTCTCTAGCGCCCACAGCCTTCTTGCTGTTCAGCCAGAAATGCGCCATCAGCCGTGTGATCCCCGATGACCCGCATAGCCCGGACCTCATCCTGCCACTGCACGGGCTGAGAAACGTCAAGGCTGTTGACTACGACCCTCTGGACAAGCTCATGTACTGGGTGGATGGACGTCAGAACATCAAACGAGCCAAGGACGATGGCACCCAGGTAAGAGCTCCTGTTGGTGTCCGTTGGGGTCCCGAGTAGCTCACCCTGGTAGTTTCCATGCTATCCCTCTTTTGTTCCCCCCCCCCCCCACTGTTTAAAAAAGTGTTTGAATTATGGTGTTGGAGAAGAATATTAAAAGTAAGTACCAAGTCTAGGAGCGGAGGTCCCTAGGACCATCAAGGGAGACGAGCAGAGAGTGGGACCCTACCCAGAGAAGCAGTGATGCCAGAAATGGAGCCAGAGATGATGACGTGGAGGGATGAAGCAGCTGGAGACTTTAGATCCAGAGAGGGAGAGCGACTGTGTGCTGAAGACCTGGGGGGCACGGGGGAAGGATTGCATGGAGGGGATTGTAACCATGGCAATGAGAGACAATATACGATAGAATGAATGTAAAATTAATGTTCTCCCATGTAAACTATCACATAATTCACAATAAAACATTAAAAAAATAAAAATAAAAGTAAGTACCAAGGACTGTCAGAAGAACCAACAAATCTGTTGGAAGAAGCACAGCCAGATGCTCCTTAGAAGCCAGACTTCGTCTCTCATATTTGGACATATTATCAGGAGGGACCAGTCCCTGGAGAAGGACATCATGCTTGGCCAAGTGGAAGGTCAGCGAAAAAGAGGAAGACCTCCAATGAGATGGATTGTCACAGTGTCAGCAGGAATGGGCTCAAATGTAACAGCGTTTGTGAGGAGGACGCAGGACCGGGCAGTGTTTCCTTCTGTTGTGGATCAATCAGGTAGTTAGGAGTCTGAAGTGACTTGAGGGCATCCATCAACGTCGTACGGGAAACAAGTGTGTCATCTTAGCGGTTTCTAAGTCTGCGGTTCAGTGGCGTTGCAGTTACCACGGGCAGCCATCACGACTTCATTTGAAAAGTTCGACTTTGCCCTAAACAAACTCAGGAGCCATGGTGGCTGGTGGTTAAGGGATCTGCTGCCAACCAAAAGGTCGGCCACGCCCCAGGAGAGAGATGAGTCAGTCAGCTCCCGTGAGTAAGGACGGCAGCCTCAGGAGCTGTTCGGCTCCACCCTGCAGGAACATCATAAGCCAGGGCCAACTTTTTGGCATAGGGTTTGGTTTATTTTTGGTGGCCCAAAACACAGCAAGAACTTTCATTCCCTCCTCCTTCCCAGCCCGGGGAGTCACTTTGGTCTCTTGTGTGTTTGCTGATTCTGACGTTGTTAGGTGCTGTCTGGTCGGTTCCTGTGCATACCAGAACAAAATGTTGCCTGGCTGTGTACACCCTCACAATCACTGTTAACGCTGGAGCTCTTTGCTGCTGCTGTCCCGAGCCAGTCCAGAATTCCCTGTTCTAGATGTCCGTATTTCATTTATAAAAAACCCCAAACTCACTGCCCTCAAGCCAATTATGGCTCGTAGTGACCCCGTAGGACACAGGAGAGCTGCCCCACGGGTCCAAGGCTGTCCATCATTTTTTTATTTTTTGACTTTTTATTGTGAATTGAGTGAAGATTTACAAAGCAGATCATCAACTTTACATCCAACAAATCACACACTTTGTTAGATGTCAATGATTGCAATCCCCTTCCTGTAACAACAGTGACTGCTTCCTCCCTGTGGCTCCCCGTTTATGTCTTATATTTCACAAATGAACAAAGCAAAAATATTTGATGTATGCCTACGAAACAAAAACTATATATTCATTTAAATATATTCATTTAAATGTGCCAAAACTATATATTCATTTAAATATATTCATTTAAATGTGCCAAAGGGCACATTCTGCAAGCCATGGGCTGACTATCTTTAAGGAAGCAGATTCCCTCATCTGTCTTCCACAGAACTGTTGGTGGTTCGAACCATTGACCTTTCGGTTAGCAGTCGAGTGCTTAACCACTATGCCATTTCATGTGAGTAGGACCGATAGTGGTCCTTTTATGCCCAGTTCATTCCACTCAGCATGTTTACCGGGTTCATTCATGTTCTTACTTCAGGTCTTCATTTCTCATACGTATCGTGCTGTGTGGCTGGGTGGTGCTGTGGTCACACCTTCATCTGTTGATGGATTGTGGCCTCCTTTTGGCTGTGAACAATGCTGCCGTGGACCATGGTGTGTCTGGCCCCTTTATTAGTGGAGATGGTGCCAGCAGAACACAGTCTTGAGTTACCAATGGCTCCAATTCCTGTTACATAGAATTATGGGTAGAACTGGAAAGCCACAGGAAGTGATTATGTGCAGGTATTGAAGTTCACAGTTATCTGAGTGGTGGTAGGGATCCTCCGTTCACCCCATGGTGGTTTGCTGGTGCACAGGGGCTGTTTTTATTGGCTGCTCTGAATTTCTTCTTTATTTAGTGGGCATTATTATACTGTTGGCTCTGTTATAACTCACTGTGACACTTAGGGTCAGCACTGAACTGCAAACCACAGGATCAGTGGTTCAAAACCACCATCTTCTCCTTGGAAACCCTATACAAGGTCACTAT